ATATTTTTTTTAAACCCGATTTATTCAAAATGATTTACATGCAAAAAAGGGCTGTTTTAATTGATAATACCCCATATTGCTAGTGCTAGCTATATTAACTATATATAAGTTCTAAATACTGTAAATACTGGAAACGGTCAACAAAAAAATAAGATTGAGACGTTACATATAAGTTTTAAACTTAAAAGAACTTCATGTATATTGTTTAACATGCTATTATAATAACAATAGGCTTGTAACATTACTAATGCCTATATTTTACATATTCTCTAAATGTTATAGAGTTAAACTATTAGATTAGTAAGTGTTAAGTAGTAGGTCGACAACATGTATAGGTTATTGTTTCTTTAATTATATGGGCTAAAAATTATGTCACATTTCTAATAAAGGTCGTGGGTTGTGATGACTAATAATAAGATAGAATTATTTTATATATCACTTCCAAAATATAATAAATAAAGAATGAAGAACAGCTTTGTTAATACTTCGCTAATAACTTATTCGTGTATTAGATTTTTGATTGATTTGATTAATTGATCACGTTTTGATTTTTGCCAATTAGCCAATCATATAAATGTTTTCTATGAGGTGAAGCTGGTGAAATTGTGATATTGGTGATGCTAGTGATACTAACGATATTAGTGATACTGTTAATGCTGGTGAAGCCGGAGAAGCTAGTGGTACTAATAAAATTGGTGATACTACTTGACACTAATAATACTATGATTATATTAATGTGCTTACCATCATCTCGAAATAACGCCCTGGGGCATTATTCTAAGGAGCTTAATTTAAAATGAGTCAATAATTAATTTGGCCCAAGATTTTTTTAAACTTTAATATTAAATAAATAGTAAAGTTTTAAAAAAATCTTCGGTCAAATTAATTATTAGCTCGTTTTATATTAAGCCTCTAGGCGATGATATAGACTTTAAGTTTGGCCTTAAGTTTTCTTTTTTCGTATTATAAACAATATTTTAATGAAAAATTTATAAAAGTTCAATCATATCTGTTCAGACTCCATAAATAGAAACATTGATCAGGGTCTGGTCCTTGAGTTACAACTGTTTTTGAATGATTTTTCGGTCTATTCAGTTAAGTTATTGATTCGGCATGATTAGTATATATTTTTAAATGTTATCATTGTTCTACAAATAATTTATCATTATAATGTCAACACATTCAACATTGTTAAAATTCAATAAATCTTGAAAAAAATATAAGGCTCCGAATATAAATTAGACTTTATAGTAAACATAGTACACATATAGATACTAATATTAGAAAAGTTAGATATAATCAAAACTGGTTTAAAGTGTAACTCAAGATCAATATTTCTATGAAAGTTTCCCAATACATCCATATATTTGAAAGTGCATAAGAACTCAACTTATAGAAGGTTTGCTAACATCTAAGTGTTTAGCAATTTTTCGAACTGAAATTGATCTATTATATTGAAATTAATATAATAACACGTAATTTAGAACAATAACAGAATTGCATAAACACTTTTCCAATTCCATGGTATATAGGAACAGCACTTCCCACATTTGGATTTTGTCTGGAACAGACTCGGTGTTGGTCTCAAAATGTTCGCATAAAGTCAACTCTAGGACCAGCTTAGCTAAATAATCAATAGCAAAATTTTTTAATCAAAAATAGCTAATCATTCTTTTACGAATAATTAGTAAATCATGCAAAATAACCTGCATATTACCATTGTTTCACAATGGCTATATGCAGGGTTCACAAAATTCACAAATTAAATAGATGTTGCACATATGTACGTACATACTAGAATTTTGATACGTATAGCAATTATATGCATAATTATTCTGCAGATGACGCTGATAAGACAGTATAATGATAAGAGTGTCAAATTCTTGTAACTATTGTTTATTATGTGAATATAAGACTATTTCTTAATTATATTATTATTGTCCTAGCTGTAGGTCCCTGTAGTAATTCATGTAATTCATTCTACAAATGTAAAAAATAAATTATTCAATAAAGACCGAGGCCAGGCCTTACTCTATAATAATAATAATAATAATAATAATAATTATATTATCATTAATGATATTCTTTCATCTTCTTAAATTATATTATTTAGTTTATGAAGGTCAATTTTTTTTCTAAGTTACTGCTATAAATCACTATATACAAGACCCTTCATGATAGTAGATCCACCACGTAGTAGACCCAAGTACGAATTATGGGATCTATATTAATCAAGCTCAATTTTTTTCAAATATTTAGACAGCCTATTATAAATTCAAAATGTGCATACTCTTTAAATTTTTCTCTTAATGGCATGAACTCTTGGCTGCATACTACATAGACCTGGGTCTATTATAATTTAAAATTGGTGAAATGTAAAAGACCCAGGTCTTGTATATTGGCAATTTATGGTATTAAACTAAATTGAATATTTCATGATAATTGTTTCTCACTCGTTTTACAATAGTGATATTGTTTATTTTTGACTAAGAAAGTTAGTTTGAAAGTATATTGAACATATTAAAATATTTTCGTAACAAAAATATAAAAGTAAAAAAAAACTATTGAAAAATAATTTTTATATAGCATAAATTTATAGTAACAATAATCTGGCCTCTGTATATTTAATTATTTTATTCGTATTAATTGTAACAAGTATTCAACTTTTGGCTTTTGATAATGCATTCAAATTTTAGCAGCATTTAGCTTCTGTATGCTGTTAATACACCAAAGTGCTGTAAAAGCCAAATGTTATACACTTTAAAACTAACTAAAAATTATAGAAATATATAATAGTGTAATAACTTTATTGTTGCATTTTTTTTTGCACTATTATTTTTAGTATTATAGTTACCTTCTCACGATTATGCATTTTGGTGACATTATATAAAAATTTTAATATGGATATATCATATTGTCGCGAAATAATGTCACGTGCATCATTTTAAATATATGCGCGATATTTGAAATACGCGCATAGGCAACAAAGATAATTTTTCTGAGTCTGAATTTTATATAGAATGTGCGTTATTTTAGAACATGTGTGGGCATTATTTTGAAATCATCTATGCTATTCTCATACATATGATACAATTGTCTAAATAATGACCATATCTGTTATTTCACAACAATATAGTATATCGATACTAGAGCATCTAGACTTATACGATTTTAATATTTTTTCATTGTTCAAACAATGAACAATTTCTGAAATCACGTAAGTTTGAACATTCTAATCGATACAATTTATATATATACACATCATATTTCTAATTACTCTTAATATTAAAAACTTTATATTAGCATTTAAAAATATGACTGATCAGACATATGATCATACTAGTCCAAATAATAGTGAAGTTACAGCTTTACAAGATATTTTGAGTGCTTCTGAAGAAGAATATTCTGATCAAGTAGAATTATTGTCAACATACGAAAAAAAAAGAAAACATGCTGAGGAGAAAAAAGATGATAAAGTATGGAATGATGTTATTAAGGGTGATAATTTATGGCAGAGATTTTATAATGCGAAGTGTAAGTGGTGTTCTACAACTTGGTTAAGAGGGCGTCCACATGAAATGAAAGTTCATTTAGCTAGAAATTGTGAAAATGCACCTGAAAATATAAAAATCAAATGGCGAGACTCTTTAGCAGAAGAAACTTCAAAACTAATAGCTCAAGCAAAAAGTGCAAAGCAATCAAATATTACTACACATTATCAACAGATTACACCTATTTCTGATACTAAGGCTAATGAACTTGATCAAGCAATTCTTAAAGCGTGGGTGTGTTGTGGATTTCCTTTTTGTACAATAGAAAATCTATTTATTATTGATCTTTTTAAACTCGCTATTTCGGGATATACTTTACCTTCACATACTATTCTTTCTGACAGACTTTTGGATCAAGAAACTGCTAGGATTGAAAAAAAAATTGAAAATGAATTGAAAAAAGAGGAAAATCTTACGCTTAGTAAGTTTTAATTTTAAAAACAATACCTAAATAGCACTATATATCATATCGCACTACATAAAATATTTTCAAAAAATAGTACCCTTTGATTAAGATTTGGGTATTATTTACTGCTTATCTTGAATAATACCTGAAGTATCACTATACTTAATTTATTATTTTCATATAATATATGGGTCTGCCTTATTTCACCGACACTCATTTCATAGACATATCATTTTACTGACAAACAATTCACTGACACTTAATTCACTGACAAGCTTAATTCATTGACAAGCTTAATTCATTGATACTCAATTCATCAATACTCAATTCATCAACACTCAATTTACCAACAACCAATTCGCCAACACTCAATTTACTGACAAACAATTCACTGACAAACAATTTACCGACACTCAAATCACTAACACTCAAATCACTGACAATCAAATCACTAACAATCAATTCACTGACAAGCTTAATTCACTAACCTTAAATATAATTTACTTTGTTGGTGAATTAATTGTCAGTGAATTGTTTGTCAGTGAATTGTTTGTTAGTGAATTTTTTGTTAATGAATTGAGTATTGATGAATTGAGTATCGGTAAATTGAGTATTGGTGAATTGAGTTGTCAGCAAATTAAGTTTGTTGGTGAATTAAGCTGTAGGTGAATTTAGTATATCAGTGAATCAAGTGTTAGTAAATTAAGTGTCAGTAAAATCAGCATGTCAGTGAATTGTTTGTCAGTAAAATGATATATCTATGAAATGAGTGTTGGTGAAATGAACGGCACTGGTTATGGATTTACTTCCTAAATTCTATTTTTCTAAAATACTATTTCGTCAAAGCCATAATACTAGCAATCCATTTGAGTGCTGTACAGGGAAATCCTGTAAGTAAAATTTGATTTGTTAAAATATTGTATGATTTTGACCAATCAAATTTCAAGATCAGTCTGATCTTAAAATTTGATTGGTCAAAATCATACAATATTTTAACAAATCAAATTTTACTTACAGGTTTTTTCTATGCAGCACTCATTTTATTGACGAAGTACAATTTTGATATATTATTTTTCTAATATATTATTTAAATTTTTTAAATAAGTTATTTATTGTAACTACTATTATTACAGCGTATTTGTCAAATTAAGTCTAAATTTAAATACCAAATTTTATATTAGTCGATTAGTGCTAAATCTTAAAAAAATTTTTATATTTATAAACTATACCAATAGATGTGTTAATCTAAATTATAATTAATTTATTTAGGCTTGGATGGGTGGACATCTCCAAGAGGAGATTTGATCTATAATTATGTTGTTACAACACAAAAGTGAAAAGAATATTTAATAAAGCTTAGATCATATAATGAGAATCAGACTGGGCAATTTATGGCAACTGAAATTAGAAAAGTATTACAAAATATTAGACTTAAAAAATTCACAGCAATTGTAACAGACCATGGATCTAATTTAAGAGTTGCATGTCAAATTATACATAATGAACATCTATCTATTTTAAATTTGAGATGCATATCACATGCAATTAACTTAATCGCTTCAGATTTAGCAAAAATCAATTCTGTTAAAATAGTTATAGCTAATTGCAATAGTATTTTAGAATTTTTTAATAGATCGCATATTGCAAATAGTTATTATAAAGAACAAATGGTGGCTATGAAAATAAAAGGTGGTGAAATTCAATCATATACTAAAACTCGATGGGGTTCTTTGTATACTACAACAGATTCTATAATTTGATCAAAACCTGTATTTGATTGAGTAAGTAAATAATATTTATTATTTTTACTATAAGGAAACAATTTTTGAGTTTGTTAAAGCAGCCCTTAAGTTCAGGTTAATTATTTATATTACTATTCGCCACTACATACAGTATTCCTCAAAAAGAATCTGCCTCATTTCACCAACACTCATTTCATAGACATATCATTTCACCGACAAACAATTCACTGACACTTAATTTACCAACAAGCTTAATTCACCAACAAGCTTAATTCATCAACACTCAATTCACTGATACTCAATTCACTGATACTCAATTCATCAACAATTAATTCATCAACAAACAATTTACCAACACTCAATTTACTGACAAAGAATTCATCAACACTCAATTCACTGACAAACAATTCACTAACACTTATTTTGTAGACATATTATTTCACCAACAATCAATCACTGACAATCAATTTACTGACACTCAATTCACTGACAAGCTTAATTCACTAACCTTAAACATAATTTTGGTATAATTACTTTGTTGGTGAATTAATTGATTGTCAGTAAATTGATTGTAGGTGAATTAATTGTCAGCGAATTAATTGTTAATGAATTGAGTGTCGGTGAATTGAGTGTCAGTGAATTGAGTATCAGTGAATCAAGTATCAGTGAATTGAGTTGTCAGCAAATTAAGCTTGTCGGCGAATTGAGCTGTCAGTGAATTAAGCATGTCAGTGAATCAAGTGTCGGTGAATTAAGTGTTGGTAAAATGAACATATCAGTAAATTGATTGTTGTTGAAATAATATGTCTACGAAATGAGTGTTGGTGAAATAAGCGGCACCACCTCAAAAATAATACCTCC